GACGTTCTGCATTGCAGTATAATTAGACATACTGCGGTGGTGTTAAACCTGAGAAGTACAAACATCAAAAAAGAGCCCTTAGCTGAGCATTTTCCTGGTGATCTCTCTTCACCCATAGCTGACGAATCACAGTAGCTGTCTGTGCAGAGTAGCAGCTAATGGTGGAATCCCAGGTCTCCTTCACATCCATATAAGATACAGGAGACTCTGCCTAAATGCTGTATTGGTGTCTTTGAATGTATTTCTCACAGGCGAGTTTCAGATGTAGGATTCCTTGTTTTCCAGATTAACATATGTTCTTTACGTGGTCATTCAAGCTGCTCGTCCCAGGGCAGCTTCTTGGGGAGCATGTTCAGCGAGGGGGTTTGAGTTCATGGTTAGGGAGCAATAGGTATTACAGCTCCCTGCAGCAGCCGCAGGCTTTGCTGTGCTGTGGAGGGCAGAGGGCTGCTCTAGTTAAAAGCTGAGCTACTCTTTTCCACTGAGCACAGCTGGGGTGATCCCTTCACCCTCAGGATGCTTGAGGAGAGCTCAAAAGGGGCTTGAAAATGAAAGCTGCTGCTATTGCTTTAGAGTAGCAATTGGGCAGTCCCTCCCTGGCACGCTGTTGTCTTGTTCCCCATCAGAGACGGCCGTCACAGATGCTTTCTTTTGCCGCACGCTTCCTTTGAGCTATCTTTGCCTAACTGGGGATTTTGCACTTGGTAGCCTGGAAGGACTCTGGGCTGGGGCACTCCCTGACCTTGCAGCTCAGCAGCGATCAGCCTGCGGCTTTGGGTGCAGGTGGCCTGGGACTATTTCAAGCGCAGCCCCCAAATCCCAGCGCTGCCCAACCTGCGCGGCAGCGGGGCTGGCTTGGCGTCCTCGCGGCGATAAAGAAACTAGCAAAGGCTGCTGGGGCTGGAGCTGGCAGAGCCCTCTGGTGCCAGGGCCAGCCTGCCTCGTCCTGCGGGTATGACTCCCTTCCCAAAAAGCCGCTGCTGTCGCCTGCCTTTCAGCTGCTCTGGGGCACCTCTCGCCTTCAGCTCTCCCAGCTTCGGAGCTTTGGACCAGGATGGGTAAGCAAACACTTAAAAAGTCCACTGGACTCAAGTTTGCCAGCATGAGAATTACCCGTAGCTGGTTTTGAGACTTGCTACGTGATAACGGCCTTTCTTTTGAGGAGTGCCTTGCCTGACCAGAAGTCACTTCAAACGAAGGTCTGGTCTGAAGGATGGTATCTCCAACAAAACATCAGTTCTCCGACTTTATCCCATGGTTTGGATACCGGGTGTGGACTTGAACAGCTAAGATTGTGTCAAGGCCAAGAAGGCTGGTAATTATCCAGTTCCAAAATTATTAGAGCAATAAAAGGATTATTGAAGTTTTAAAAATCATAGTTCTGATCTATTCCGCAAATTGCTCTTAAAGCTTCCTTAATTCCCTTTCCATTCTCTCTTTTGTTCCTTTCTTTTCTTTCCTTTGTGGTTTAGGAGCAATTTGCTCCTACACCGAAGTGTAAATGTCTGCCTTTGACAGAAGGAAACTGCTGATCTGGTGCATAGATTTCAGCAGTGGATGGTTTTGATTCAGGAGAGCTGGGAAGGACGATGACAGATGTTAGCTCCTGCAACAGAGACGCTGCATAAAGCTGTTCTGAAACAGCCGTCAGATCTATACACTTGCTAATCAAGTCACAGTGAAAGTGCTAAACTTCTCACTCCTAAAGTGTATCAGGTTTGGTGCTAGACTCCTAATTGAATCGCCGACTGACATTTTTTGCGTTCTCTTAGGCCTTTATAGTACAAGACGCTGCAAGGTAAAAACATTTTGTGGATTCCTTCTGGAAGGGAAAATAGACAGTGAACATGTCTATTTTGTATTGCCTTGACCACGAGTAAAGCTGGGCATCCCTTATTTTCACTATGAGGCTTCATATGGAGCTGAAAGCTGGTTTTGTGATGTTTAGTATATACATATAAAAGAATGGTGCATCAGAGTATTTATTGATATTTGTTGATTTTAAAAATGTTTCAGATCAGTTTGCTTAGGAGGCGGGTACTCCTGGGTGCTGTCAGCAGAGCTAGCCCATAGTCTCTGATGGACAGAGCACCGACAGGCATGACACTCGTACCTGGTTGTTACCAAAATTCTCAGTGTATATGCCAACAGAACATCCTAATTTTTACCAGTGTACTGAACTACAACCTTATTTTTGGTGCCAGTATAGCTGGACTATCGAGTCTCCTGCCCTGCTTTGCACTGTCCTACTTCTTCCCCCCAGAGCTCCGGTTCCAAGGCAGTTTCTGCTCCAGCAGAGGAAAGCAGGGTTTCCAAAGAGGAAAGCAGGGTTTCCAAAGGGGAAAGCAAGGTTTCCAAAAGGGCAGTGCTAGGGAGAAGGTCCAATGTCCTGGAGTAAGGAGGGGTGGCAGCACCCGTTCAGCCCTCCCCAGAAAGTCACAGCTCCATAGCGTCACTGCACATGGTGATACCTCAACATTTAACAGCAGGTTCCCCGCACTGCTGGGGTTCTCCAGCACCACGGATTTCCCCTGGATCAAGTGTGGGCACATAATCATGTATTTCTGTCAAATCAGCCATGGCATAGGATGATGATGTTTGTGCCAGCTTTATGCTTTTATGTTGGCTTTATGTGGGCTCTGGGAGGAGAGACGTTATCTGACCTGGCAGAAAGTGTGAGCTGTAGAGGCAGTGATACCTCACCTGGCATAAAACCTGTCAGTACAAAATTAAGTCATCATTTTTCTCTATTTGAATTGGCAGTGCGAGTTCATTCTGGATCAGCACTTTCATCATGTGTCTGGCAACATTTCTGACGGAGTATTAACAGCCCTAAAGCGGGATTTACTGAGTTGTGGGATCACAAACTTATTGTTTGAGCTCACTCTGATAAAAAGGCAGGGAGCTACTGGGTGGCGGTTTTTACTAGGTTTCAGAATGCTCCTACACAGAGCAGTTTTCTAGCAAGGAACAATTTCCTCCCCCATGAAAAAAACACCCTCAGAATTCCTATCTAACCAATAAACCCCACCCCAATACAGAAAATCCATGGATTAGAGGTTCATATGTAACTTTTGACACACTCCCCCAAATGAAACCTTTTGTGTAAATGGGAAAAGGAATCCTTTTGTGGTGTAGAAAGTCAACAAGGCATAAATCACTATTTTGTTTGCTCTGTTGCTAAACATGCTGAACAAGAAACCACCACCAGACCTGTGAAATTCTCTCATTAATCCTACCAGAGTGATTACATCCAATACTCTTGGGACCAAGAAAAAACGTTTAAACATATTCCACTGGCTAAAATGTAGTAGTTTCCTAGTAAGGATGGTGTTATGCAGTAGCTCAAATACTTGAATTAAATGACTTTACGTAACTTTTACTTTTCTCTACTTCATTTTCCAAAAATGATTTGAAAATAGAGGGGTTTAAAAACATAACGTAGCTTCCAAAGAATAGAAGGCACTGGCTAAAAGTTTAGTCTTTCAATACTTCTGTTTGCTAACGAATGCTTGGAGTAAACAAGCACTCTTTTACCCACAGTTTCTGCAAAGCGCTTGCCTTTTGTTTCAGACCCAGTACACTCGGCTGAATGAGGTAATGCCTACATCTCCTAGGCCAGGAATGTATTCAGATTGGGCACTGAAACAGGGTAGGAGGATAATACCTGCTCTTTGGTAAACACAGAGTGAACTTCGGCTCAGCTTCCAGATTGCTGTGCTTGGAGGAGAGAATTAGGACTGCTTGTCTGAACACAAAAAAATCACTTCATCGGTTTAGCAACCAATTCAATGCTTCACATAGGTGCCCTCAAATGCATTAAACCCACATTATGTATACATAAAAACATGTTTTAAATTAAGAGTGTCTTGTGACAAAATTGCATCAATTTAAGTGAGTCAGTTAAACACTACCCTGTCCTAAACACAAATACTGTTTTTAAATTCACTCATTTAGAAGCAGGTGCTGAAGCAGGTCTCCTGAGGTAGAGGCTGAAAGGACCCTGGTTCTGACTGAGCTGTAGCAACCCTCTGAAAAATAAAAAAAACACCTCTCTGCACAGCGATCATGAAAACACAGACTTGTTTTGCCAAAGAAAGCTCCTCTGCATTCCTGATGTGACGTTAAGAGTTCTGAATAATTTTCTTTAGACATCAGACAAGGACAATTTTCAGAAGTACATTAAATAGTATTTATTGGGTTTGCAATTTCAGGGGCAAAGCTATAATCTCAGTCCCAGCTATTCACACACTGTGGCACATGTTCTTTCACCCATTCAACAAATGAACAATAACATGGAACATCATAAAGAGGCAGTTTGAAAAAAAATCCCTATACTCTCAGTTTTGAAAACAGGAAACAGACTGAAGTATTGTTCTCATTCACAAATACATTTACCTTCTTGATTAAACATAGTATGTTTTTATGGAAGAACAGACTCATCCTCCAGATGTTTTGGAGAAGGTATGGGATGGCTGATCTGAAAGAAAGTAAAACTATGGAGAGCACTGAGAGCGCTTTTCCGTACGAGCACAGTGACAGCTGGACGGTTAATGCAGGCTACAGGCTGCAAATAATTCCTCAGAAGAGGGAGGGATGCTACCAAATATGCAGTTGGGAAGAGCCTCTCTTCTTGGGAAGCCTTTGTGTCTGGGACTGATTCTGTGGGTGCATCTGGTCAACAAACCATCAAGAGCCTGCCTGTAAAATCTTATGGCAGAGGTTGTTTTCATTTTCACCATGGCGACCCTTCTGCATAGTAAAAAAAGGCAGCACACAATATACACAGATCCATATTTACAGAATAAATGGCAAAAGAGGAAATTAGATACAGTGACACTTATGTCCAGGCATTAACAAACAAGATCCCTTGTGTTGATTCAGGGGTTATTATTCACAGTTCCTTTAAGCAAGTCCTTTTCTCTGCACACGGGTTCTCTTGTTTTGCTAATGAGAGCCAGCAGGATGTCTCACTGTAAGAAACAGATGCTTGCTCTCCCTTAAACCATGGTCATGACCTTCAGAGAGGCAGGTTGGAATCTCCTAATCTTCTTCTTCAGTGCTTTTGAAGCTTTGATGCGACAGATTTTGGGCACCGGGGGAAGAGGCTTGGAAGAGGCCTGGACAGTCCCTGATTGTCTGACCGAACCTTCGGGCCAAATCAGCTCACTTTCATCCCCCTCGTCATAGTCAAGGGCAAGGCTGCTGCTGTTACTGCTGCCATCCGAATCGCTTTCACTGGACTCGCTGTCCCCGAAACGGTTAGCTGTGAAATCGCTGACCTCCCCTTCGCTGGTCTCTGCTATGGTGGAGTGAAAGAGGGAAGCGCACTCTGCAGAGTACTCGGAGTGGTCTGACTCGCTTTTGGCATAAGCTCCGTGGCGCTGGCTCTTGGGGCGAGCCCTCACGCTGACAGTGCGCAAGACACCAGCTCTCCTTGCTGGCTGCCTCGGTGCTCCTGGGCCAAAGCTGCTCGAGAGGCTGGCCAGGTGGGCCTTGGCAGAGATCTCCACTGTGGACTGCCACTTGCGCTGCTTCTTCTTGTTGGCTGTATCTGCGCAAGCTGCTTCGAGGGAATACAGTGCATTGGCAGAGGTTCTGTAAAGCTCTGGCCCGGGTGGCACTGTGGGGAGCCTTACCTGCACTGGGAACAGGCTAGACTCTGAGCACGACCTGCCGGTCACGTCACCAGAATAGGAAGGTCTCCGCACGAGGCTCTTCGCTCCATGTGGTTTTTGGGGCTGATTCCACTCCGCAGGCAGCCTAGCAGCCCCATGGGACCCTCTCGCCTTCTCCACGCAAAAGGCTTGCCTCCCAGGCCGTAGAGCCTTTTCACTGTTCCTCCTCTTTATCTTCACCGCCTTTGTTTTGGAGCTGGCAAACCTGACCCGGACTTGGTGGGATTCTGCTGGGACAAACTGAGCATGAACAAATTCGCCCCGTGCCGCTCGCTCATGACCCCCAGCGTTAGCCAATTTGGCATTGCCGCACCTTTTGAGGGGCAGCTTTCTGGGTGGGATGGCTTTAGCATTCCAGGTGCCCGGGCTGGAGTCCTCCTGGCACAGCTGCGAGCAGGATGAACTGGACTCCACACTGCTCTCCGTCACTTCTGCCAGAGGAGAGCCCCTTGCTGCTGCCTTGGCAGGATAGCAACTATTCACAGCTGATGGCTCTGCGTCAGACCGAGTGGATGGCTGTTCTTCATTCACACAGCGCACAGTCTCCTGCTGCTTGGCACATTCCCCCTCTGGCACCTCCCTCTGCAGCTTCCCTTCAGCTTTGTTACTTTCCAGAGAACTCACTTGTTTTTCCAGCTGGCTACTGCTGCTGTTAATTTTCACTCCACCCGCGCTAGGGGTTATAATGAGTCTCTGGTGCATTGTGGCTGGCTGGCTCTTTGTTGAAACCCACTCACTGGCATCAGCCCGATTGTTCCCTTTGCATCTCGTCAGCTGCAGTAATTTATTGATGTAACCCCCTGGCTTGGCCTCAGCGGTTGGCCTAGTCCGAATCAAGTTGGGACCTGCTGCAATAGGCACGGGTTTGCTGGGAGGAGCCTGGAGGTCTGCTTCTGGGGATGTCCCCACCAGGGAGAAAAGGGGACTTTGTAAAGCCACCGCATGAAGGGGGCTTGGGTAAGGATACACGTCGATGCCATTCTTGGAGACCAAGTCGTTCTGGAATTTGGGGTCCATGCTGAGCAAGGGCATGTCTCCGGCATGGCACAGAGGCAACATGGATTTGGGATCTGTCTCTTTCTGAAATCTAGCGTCTGCTGGAATGAGTCTTTCCAAGTCACCTACACAGTGGATGAAAATAAATAACCTAATTAAATCACAGACAATTACATTCAAACTGGCTTATGCCAGAAGTGCCATTTCAGAGGGATGTGCTAGCTTTTACTAAGATCAGTGGCATGAATGAAGAAAATAGTCTCAGTCCTCCAAGATCTCTGAATTACTCCAAGGCTTTTATTCACCTGAGCATAATGGAGATTAGAATGGCTTTTAATGCCAATAATAAAACTCATGCTCTTGCAGGGAATTTAAACCGTGCTACTTGGATGAAAGTAAATCCGTGCATATATAAAAATGTTCCAGAATGTCACAGAACAAGAGGAACCCAACCAACTAAACAAAAATAAGGGATCATTTTTATTTCTTAACAGAGATAAAAAGTGAATCCAACAACTAGAAAGCCTGAAGCTGAATGTCACCTAGAATTATCCAATACAACAGATACAGTTTTCGAACACTTTCCCCCCAGGATAGGATAAGGACTTCCTCTGGATATATAACTATAACTCAGAAATTAATGAAATTTCCAGCATGCAGAGCCAATGGTATTTTTTTTTTAAGTAGTTAAATATGAATTCCAGCTTTTCCTCCAATCCTTTTATATCACGTGTCTTGGAAAAATCCATAGCACTCAACCACCTGCTTTAAGAGGACTTCAGCAGACTCTAGGTTATAGTGTTTCTTAACCTCTTAAATGCTGGAAGCTGTAGTTTTTTATTCTTTTGCATCTTGGTTTAGTAAGGCATTAGTAAACAGAAACGCTCAACGTGCATGGGAGAGCCATTAAGACTCACATGTCCCACAGGCCAGAGTGACATGATTCTACTTTTCCTTAACCCCAAATCCAATGAAACCTCCTAACCAGATCTCTCATTTCATTTGATAACATTACCAGTCTCATCACAAGTAAGTAACTTCTTAGAGTATTTAATTCCAGAACGAAATATTGAGAGGTTTTATTAAAAGGCAGAAAATCAGGAATGCCATAATTCTTTGTGTGGATTTTATAAAAATCAACCTTAAGGACATAAAAGAATGGACTAAAAAATCTTTACTTTGAGAGAGAAAAAAAATCTAAGGGTAACTACTCAGGCAGATGGGAGGCTCAGACCCTGAAGATGGCATTTGTGGCCACCAATTCAGATCTCTTAAATTTCAGAGTACTGTCAAGGTTGCTCTAAGTTACACTTGACTGCTGCACCTTCCTCTCAGGAGCATCTCCTGTGCACTGAGAGGACAGGCTGTGTTCTTGTGTGAAGCAAGACTGTTCCATCCAGAGAAGTCATCCCATAGAGTGCTACAGTGCTGTGTTACCTCTGGTACCAAGAGTACTGGAACCATCTGCAGCTAGCTTGGATTTCTCTGTACAACAGTGCAGTCTTCAGTGCCAACAAATCCTCAGGGAACTGATTTCCTGGCTGCTTCATGCTACCAGGAAACCCAACCATCAAATCCAACCACATATTTCACTTACAGTGACTCTTTCTGTCCTGTGACAGGAAGCTTTTGAAAGACTTCGAAATTTGGCATTGTCTGCAGCGTCCTACCTAAGGCACTTACAGACCTGCTACAGCAAAGGTTGGGATGATGATTTCTCAAACAACGTATTTTCATAATGAAAATTCTTTAGGAAATTGTTGGCAGCGTGTAGTGGTGCTCTCTTGTGCAAACAGACCAGGCAGGTGTCAAAAGAATGCTGTGCTTGTGGTGTCTCAGCAAGCTTTCCGCTTGCCACTGAAAGAAAAGGCAATTGGTTTGTACCTGCAGCTACCTGTGGGGACAAGCTAAGGAGAGGAAAAGAGACATTTCTTCCCCTCTCCAAATGATGATTTTCTGAAGTAACATCTTGCCTCACTTCCTGCAATGTAGTCAACTTTGCGAGCATTGTTTCTTCAAGGCTACACCCACTACTACCCCACTACTTATGCTTCTCACACTGGAGGAAGTAAGAGGCTGCAGCCAGGAAGAAGGGAGGTGGTGGTGGTGGAAAAAGGAAGGAGGACTGAAGGAGGTCTGTAGCCTCATTCCTGCACCCCTACTTAACATCAGCTATCCCTTTTTCTGCTAGTCTGTCTCCATATCCAAAAACCCATCAAGCCCTGGGGGTCTTAGCAAAATGTTGCAAGGCAGGAAAGTTTCTGATAAAACAAGAAGTCTGTCATCTGAACATGGAAGCCACAGATCATTAAGCTCAGCTCCATCCCCAGCCTCTGAGAAGCCTTGAGAAGACTTTGCTTTTATGCTGTTATTTAGCACCATCGCTTCAGGTGTGTCTGCACAGATAGGTACAGAACAGGCGGTCTTTGCTTCTGCTCCAAGCAAGATAGAGGTGAGCTAGCTCAGGTCAAGAAACTGTGGGAATGACTCCAGAGTAACACGGTACTTGAAATGATGTTCCCTACGGCTTCCCTGTTTCTGTAATGGAACTGTCACACATGTGGCTGGGTCACCATATGAACTAACACAAAGCTGCTCTGAGGCCATGGAAGGACCCAAAATAAGAAGTGATACGATGTCACTTCACAGACGGCTAAACAAGAGATTTGGAATATTAATGGACTTGTCCATTTTGTCTAAAGGTATGATGCAAAGTCATGGTTGATCCACTATTAGGCTTGTGACTGGTTCCTAGACAGTCAATTAACTTTTGGTGTCTTGTATCCCTAACTGTACGTAACAAATTATGAAAAAGAGTGTTGTCTGAGTCCACATTGATTTGAATAAATACGGCAAGGTATATGTAAGTATTACCATACTCATTTTACAACAGATTGAGAAAACAGGCACTAAGTCTGGAAGCGTCTTTTTCTCCTTAGATTTCTGTAAAATCATTCTCAGTAAAATGCAGCACCTCTAATTTTGAACTCCCCTTGCATTTTTCATACATCCCTGCATCTTCACACAAGGTGTTTCAAATACTGCAATTTTTCTGATTTCCCAAGTAGGTAAATTAAAAAAAGTATCTCAACATTCATTACAATTTTATCTCATGCACTTAAATATTCTTCCAAATAGAAATGCATATGTCCTCGTACTTGTTATTGTTTAATAGTATCTGAGTATGGAGACAAGTGAAAGTTGAACAGGAAACGGTTTGGCTCTGTGGTTTTGATTAATTCTCACTTTGTATATGGAAAATGAGTGCTATGTATTGATTACACATTGGTATATTAGGTCCTAAAAGTAATAACCAGGATTCTGCCCTTCTCTTGAATGAGTATCCAGTTCTGCAGTCGATTACCTGTGGAAACTGGCCTCGGTCGGGACCTGGCAGGAGTCCCAGAAACATCTGTGCTAGCCGTAATCCGACATCCATCACTGACATAGGTTCCCTGCTGTTGGAAGCTGGTGGTGTGCACAGTAGTTTCGTCTGCAGACTTGGGTCGGTAATCAAACACACTGAGCCTTGCTTTAGGGTGTTGAGAGCCGGGCAAGAGACTGGTGTGGGAGGAGGAGATGGACTCACTGTACACAGAGGTACAAGAATTGGAGAGCGAGCAAGAACCACCGTCGCTCAGGTCATAGAAGCCTGCAGTGTTAAAATAAATAGGAAGATATTTCTTATTTACAGTAACTAAACATGCTCTGTAGAAGAAAAATGCAAAGAATAAAATAAATCTTCTTTGTTATGTGCCACAGGCCTAAATTTATGATCACTTATTTGGGTAACTTTAGCAGAGGTATACTCTAATTCAACCACCTTTTATTGGGCTTCTGCATATTTACTTAGGCCCTGAGCCAGCTTGGCACTCACATGCATGCTCAGTTCTGAGGCTGGGATGGGGTGAAGTGCAGCACCATCACGCCCAGTTCTTCACTGGAGAACATCTTTGGGGACTATTATGCAACTGGTGTAAACCAGGGCCATCTTATGCTGTTGTAACTTGTGCTAGCTGCATACAAGCACAGCTTGGATGGGAAAGTAGAGTAAAACTAGCCTGTGATCAGAGCTGCCAAGTCTGTGATAGCTGGAATGTCTAAGGGCAGAGAACGGAGGCTATCTTCCCTCTCCAGGTCTTGCGATCATTGCCAATTAATTATGGAAGTATTAAAAAAGGCTCGTATAAATTCAAGATAGGAATTTTTCTTATTCCTCTCTATATAAAGCAAACAGAAAAGGAAGCTGTTTCCTTTTGAACTGCGTGCATGGGCCTAAGCATGCACCTCCTGAATTTAGACACTCAACAGAAACTTGCACTTTGTATATCCACTCTGAGTACCAGGCTGCAAATCCATATGCTGTAAATAAAAAACCTCTTTCCTTGCCTCACTAAAGACTTAATTCTGTTTAAAAAGCAATATTCCCATTGTCCCAGACTAGATAACAGAAACTGGTTTTAACAGACATCCTAGCTATAAAAGTCTGTAGTACAGCGCTCTCTGTGAACCAGACCAGAAACCTGAAACTCAATCTCTTTCTGTCCATGAGAGCATTAGTCAACAAACTGTTGGGGTGTTCTTTCTCAGTGTCTTTTAATAGAGCTGTTTCATTTTTATGTAAATGATCAAACATTCATTTGGCCAGAGCACTGCCAAATCTTCAAAGCCTTAGCAAGGTTCAGGACACTTCTTGGATTCAAGCAGAGCACTGACATGGACGTTGGTCTCGTTCACTTCTCGTAAGTACTCTAGCCACTTTGCCAATGGTCATTCTGCACTGGACAAGGTAATTAATTAATAAATCTGTCTCCTCCTCCTTCCATTTGTGGCTAAAATGTCCATTTAAAAATAAAAAAAAAATCCAGAAAAAAATACTGTTTGAGTGAATAAGCATTTTCTAACTAAATCAGGAAAATTCCCACCAGCTCTGTGAGTGTGCTCTGCACCAGATGACTACTCTCCACCTCAGCCAAGGGGCACTGTTTCTGACCAAACAATACAGAGAGTTTTGCTTAGCAGCTGACACCCTTCAGTTCTCCTAGCACCACAACCCTGGGAATAAACGACCAAGTGCACGTTACCTGAGCTGGGCCGGCTGTCACTATCCAAGTATTCACTGGAGGTCTTGCTGACGTCCAATTTCAGCTCACTTATTCGCTGATCTAGCTGATCCAGGTGGCTTTTCAAGCCGACATCCTGTCTCCTCAAACGAGACTAATTCACAAGTCGAGGGAAGAAGGAGGAAATGAAGAATAATCATAGTTAGAATCTCAGCAGCAATGCAGGAATTCAGGCCATCTGTGCTGGACAGATTCTGCTCTCATGAAGTGTTCTGCTTAGCTAAGGACTGTTGCAATTGGCTCTCTGTAACGAGACTGACAAGTACAAAACATTCTGGTTTTCAGTATATATTGTCTTTTGCCCAGCTGAACATGTTCTCAAAACTTTTCATACCGAATATACCTATTTTAAAACTTCAGGTTTTTTGTTACACCTATGGCAGGAACTGTGCCTTTAAAGTGGATGGCAATGTTTTAACTAATTAACATGCTAATATATGCACTGCATTTTGCCATACACTGCCTCTGAGCAGAGGATGAGATAAACGTTATGGATTGTCTGCATGAACTGTAAGATGCCGCTTGATGAAAGGAAACCGCTGTATGTAAAGGTACCTTATTGCCACACAAAGTAAAGGCAGCATACTCATTTCTGTAAAACCCTTGGCTTTGATGACACGTCTTTATAGTTGAAAGGCTACGCTGCATGAATTGCGACACCTACTTTGCTGAAAGTTTTCCTTGCATGTCTCGTGGCTAGATATTTCCACACATCTTATGCAAGGAGAAGGTGGTATTCGAATACTGCTGTGAAAATGACTGTTTAAAATAAACGGGGTCTCAAGCTTGTGAATAATCCTTCAGAAGCCAGCAACAAGGTCCTCTGCCTACTGCAATCACTGACCAGGCTGATCTCAGCTAACAGCTCCCGCAGTTGCTCCCCCAGGGTTCGTGCCGTCAGCTTGGCGAGGCAGATGGCCAGGCGTTAGGTACCGGCCAAACAACCATGGCTGGTTTCCGTCACAAACTTCTCACGTGGCACTTGGCAAATTATCTAGGCCCAGTCCTTATTTAGGCACCTTCTAATTATATCACACTTCACCATCCATCCAACAGCACTTTACAGAAAGGTGGTCTCTTGAAGTTGGTTGTAAAGTTGTGCTCACAGACCTCAAGGGGCTGGGTTTCCACTCAGTAATGGCGAGAAAAACATACTAAGATTCTTCTTTATGTGTACATTTCAGATTTAAAAATACAAGTGGCAGTTCCAGCAGCATTTCCAGCCCCAAATAGGAAAAAAATGTAATCTAGGTCCCTTGAGCTAATTAAAGTATCTGCAAAATTAAATGACATGCAGAAAATCAAAATCAGTATGTACACATTTTTACCTCCAGCTTCCTTGTGTTCAGATAATTCAGCTTTTAATATTTGCATTTTTAGGTTTCTCCTTAGCTATAAATACTAAAAGCAAGGAAAGCTAAGGTCCTAAGGCAATCAGTAGATGATTAGATACTGGGATTCACGGAAAAAAGACAGATGTCCCGAGTCTCATAAGACAACTGTAACGGCTGGTGATGCTGCTGAGATGAATGAAAAAAGTATTTCTAGTGTGCTTGTATGGGGAACTGGAGGAACACATAAGACACAAGAAATAAAGCCCCTTTTTGTCAACGTCACGCATCTAGGAAGGCTTAAGTTCAAGAGGCTCACTACTGCTTCCTAGGAAAACCCATGGCGATTTTCCCTCTTCCTCTTTCATATAAACAAAAAGGAAGGGAAGAACTGGATAATAAAGGAGATTTTCTATCCCATCTGAATGATGAATGCATGACCTCCTCAGTACTTCTTTATTTCCTTTATGGGGAAAAAGCAGAAACATGCCGTGCCTCCTTCAATCCCACCTACTCAGGAAATCACAAAGTTTTGTTTTCTCGGCTGGAATTAATTGCTTAATGATTAATGTTTTGCCAGCCAATCCCTCAGTCTGTGGTTTCTGATTAATGACAGAGAGGCCACAAGGCTCTCAGGTATTCAAAGATTATTTATTATACCTCCAGGTTCTGTCTGCGCTTTCACAGCATTTTAACCAACACACGATTTACATCATCGTTTTTAACCCTTTTATGGTGTCTCACACCACTGGGTTTTCATGTTTCCGGCAGACTTCGTAGCTTTGATCTTTCAGTTAACTCCTTCTGCACTCCAAGGCGAGTAGCATTCCTCAGACCATTTGGATAAGGATTACTTTTCCGGTGTGTTTGCTTGAGGTTGTTATTGCTCTAATAACCACACTAAGCAGCACCCAGAACAATAAACCCTAAACACACTCTTTCTCAGTTCACAACATTAATTTTACATAAGACTAAACCTTGCAGATGAAACCATCTGTTTGCTTTGGGCAATGCAGCTGTGAAGACTTCTGTACGCTACACAATGCAGGACCAGACTTTCCAAATCAACTTGTACTATCAATGGCCTACAGTTTTGGGGAGCCAAATGTGGGATCTCGTCATAACACTCACTTTTCAGAAGGAAGAACACTCTCTGAAAAGCAGGTTCCTTTAAGTCAATGCAAATCGGTACCCCACATCAAGGCACCAAAACCCACTGGTCATACTTGACTATTCTTCTCAGCTATTAACCTCTTCAGTTAAAGGGGGTTTGACATTTATTGGTTGTAGATTAGCACCTGATAATTTTATTAATCCAACTGGATTTTGGAATGGACAAAAGATAGCATTAATCTCATCTAGCTGTGCACATCTAAAATCTATTCACCCTTGGGTCTTTTTGTAACTGATGGTGCAAAGCAGCCAGTTTCAGAGGAGAATTAATCTCACCTATCCCAGACCCTTATTCTACAGTGAGGTGAATTCCTTCTGGAAGCACCTCTTCCTCAGTTGAAAAAAAACTTTAAGTTAGTTTAATATTTAAAAATTAAAAAAATCCCTGGTTGATGAGATGTTTTCTTCTATTTAAAACTATCTAAAGGTGGTGGGGGGGAAATCTGTGCAAAATGCAGGGTACCAAGTGTTGTTTTTTTTATTTTCTCTTCAGTATAATGTGTCCCTTCTCACATTCTTATAACATCACGAGCCACCTGAAAGCTTGCAAAACAAAATCATTGGATTCAAAACAAATCAATCAATTTTTATAAATTTGTTCTCTGAGGAAACAGCTGAGAAAATACTGGATGCTGCAGCCTTAGATATCCATCTACTTTGACAGTGAAAGTGTCACAGATTTCTTTCTTTGTATTAGCCTGAATTTGCACCTCTTCTTTTCCCTCTATGTCACCATGATATCATTTGGCCAAGGGACTAGTTTAGCACCTTTGGGATCACTGACAGTAGATGGCATCACTTAACTCTGCTTCTCTTCTGCTACAGACTTGATCCTGCCTGCACCGTGCAGCTGCCAGACAAACCCCTGGCCACCAAAAAAAGCCACTGGCCCGGGCAAAAAAGGACGTGACTGCTAAGGGCAGCAGAAAGCCTGCAGCCTTGCTGCCTACAGCAGACTGCTGTAAAGGCCAGCTGCTGGCTGTCCCTGGTACCTGTTGTTGGGGAAGAGACTGGGGTACTGGAGTGGCATCCAGACGTAGTCCCTACAGCATTTGATGGCTCTGGCTCTGCTCCACTCATTCCCACTAGAGGCACTTGACTCCTTAAGGGCACTGCCTCTGCTCTTCTGTTCTCACCTCACCATTACAGAAGAAGCCTGGCTTGACTCTTATCTGCCTCGTTTCCATCGCTGAGATGCCTTGAGCCAGCTCCAGCTGATACACCTTCCCCATTCTATATTGCAAGGACCAAACTTCTAATGAATTAAACCATGTCCACGCTAAAGCCCAGGGCTACAGCCCTACCTGAAACTTGGATCAAGATACACTGCAAGGCAAAGCTGCATTTACATTGTTAATGAGTTTCTCAGTCTGAAAGCTTATAGAGCAGCAATAACATATGCGATCGTCCATGGGCCAAGAACAAGAACGATGAAGAGGTAACAATCCCTGAGCAATGCTGTGCTTTGCATTTTCTGTTGTTTTAGTTTTAACTTAATTTCTTGTGATCATGAATTTTCAAGGGTTTTGAGTGCAATAAGCTGCTCATGAGTCACTGAGAAACAGTTTTCAGCCTGTGGTCGCCGAGTTCACAGGATCTGTGGACTACTTCTAACAGGACTGCGAAAAGCCTGTTTTCAACTGGGTTTACTTTGCTATTGAGCAGCTTTGAGATATGCACCTCTACTCAAATATATGTCTGCAATTTGCAGGGGAAGAAACCAATAAAGGTACCAGGTACGCCACTCTGAAAAGCTTCCAGCAGCCACGGGTCAATCGGAAGAGCTTTGTATCACTACTCTAAGCATTCACACAAAGGCATTTTTGCTGAAGAACCTTCTCCTGGATTTGTGTAGTTCTGAGTCATCCCTCTCAAGCGTTTTGAACACTTCCCTCCCAGGCACCCCCAGCAGACACGTTGCCTATAATCGCACTGGCACCTACTGGCCAAATCCATCCCTCTCTGGCCGTGTGCTGAGTTACTCTCGTCCTCCCAGCTCCTGCATTTCTAAAGGCAGCAATTAAGGCCAATTTTTTCTCCCATTTTAACAGCCAGTTTCTCCCACGTCCTTGGAAAGACTTGCAAGGTGCCAGTAAAGTCCTGACAAGCTACTCTTCTATTCCCATATTTTATTCGAAAAATATATAAACAAATGAGTAATTAAAGCACAACAGCTGACATGAAAAAAGAATAGTCACTATGGCCAGAGGTCATTGGATGTTTCTGTTAACCCAGTGGTCCCAGACACGAAATGAATGCCTTCAATTCCTTTGTTTAGTTAAAAAAAGAAAGAAAGTAGAGCCATTAATTAAAATTATCAATGACAGGTAATCAAGTGGTTGGCAGTCCACTTGTCCTGTATTTTTTACTTTAATCAAGATATGCCCGCTGCTGTGTTTTCACATGTGGTGGCTAGGTTTTCCTGAAGGTTAAAGCCAATTTTATTCCCAGATACTGCCTGATAAAGCTGGCTCCGGGGAGCGAATAACCGTGCTCTTTTCACACCTGATTGGTAACTGGTGGCCAAGCCTTGCACCAGTACAGGGAGGGAAAGGGCTCTGAATTAAGCCCGAGTCACCGAAGTGTGTAATTGCCCATACTAGAGATTAAAGCCCTTTACCCTTTGATTGTTGTCTCACCTATGAAACTCATTTCAGCCACAAGTCAGATTTTTTTTTTTTTTTTGTCTTTCCCAAAGAACCCGTGCAAGCGGCCGGCGTGACGCTTCAAATACAAGGCCTGGCATTCAGGTATTCTTCTCTTTTGATCACACAATCCATGGCAAGAACAAAGTACTCCAGGCTCAGGAACCCCTTCGTGCCGGATCGACTCCCGCCGGCACACGACTGCATGGGCGCACAGAGGTGTACGTACACAGAGGTGTAAGTACCAAACCCCTGGGCGCTCGGCCTATTTAGGCGCATCTCACTCTGTGTGCGTCGACCCCCTCTTCAAAAGGCTACTGCCATTAAGGGCCGAGCGCTGGTAAGGGCGATACAGGTATGGCCGAAGTTGGCCATCCCCTGCTCCTCGGCCCCGACGGACGGAGCCAGGCCGGGTAAACGACTTCTCCTCAGCGCTGCGCCTGGCACCGAGCTCTCCGCCAGCGCTTTACGCCTTTCGGGCGGGGG